TGGTTCCCCAACCTCCTAATTGGCCCTACCCTGAGCATGACTGAGGGTGGCATCACAACCTCCCGATTGCCCTGCTCTGTGCATGACAGGGGGCGGCGCCCCAACTCCCCAATTGGCCCTGCTCTGAGCCCGACCAGGGGCTGCACCTAGGGATTGGGCCTGCCCTCTGTCACCTGGGGGCAGGCCTAAGCCAGCAGGGCATTATCTCCTGAGGGGTCCCAGACTGCGAGAGGGCACAGGCTGGGCTGAGGGACCCACTTCCCCCCGAGTGCACAAATTTTTGTGCACCGGGCCTCTAGTAAATTAATAATTGGAATACTTAATTTTTTAATAGAGTTTTTTAAATTGCCATTTTAGCATCACAGAAAAATGGAGTGGAAAGTACAGAGGTTTCCCATATGCCCCCTGCCCCTACACATGCACCACCTCCCCCATTATCAGCATCCCCGACAAGAGTGGTACAGTTGTTACAATTGACGAACCTACGTTTTTGACACATTATTATCCAGAGTCCATAGTTACGTTAGGGCTCACTCTTGGTGTTGCACATTCTATGAGTTTGGACAAATGTGTAATGACAAGTATCCAACATTATGTGCCATGCAGATGTATTTGACTTTTGATCCAGCAAGACATGGCAAACCCTGAGTACAGGGAGTTTGTCACATCACTGTGAGTCCCCACTGAGCACCTGAAACACCTCAGGGACCCGTTGAAAGACATGGTGGTCAATAGATTATGAAAGCAGATAAGGGCCTGGGAGGGGAGAGCCTGTATTGTCAAGCTAAATACCTTGAAATTTATCGTGTCTATAGACCAGGGTCCACAAGGTATAGGCCACAGGCCAAATCTACATATTGCCTGACTGTTCACACACTCCAATGGCAGAGTTGAGTGGCTGCAACATAGTGGTGTGTGATCTCTTGGCCCACAGAGCCTAAACCATTTACTCTCTGGCCCCTGTAAAGGTAAAGTTTGCCGAACTGTGCTGACTGGCATGGGGAAGTCTAATGGTTTCCTGGAAGTGTCCAGTGGCTGGGAGGGCTGGTGCTGTAAAGTACAACACATCCACAAATGCCCCAAAGCCCCCCCCACCCCGCCCTGCCTCCTGCCCCCAC